AATGAAGCCAGTTTTAATAATGAAGAAAAATAAAGTATTTTGTATAGCAAAACAAACTTTAGCATGGTGATCAGCGATGTCGAAAACCTATGAGTCCAACATTTTTGAGCATATATAGTGCGTAAAATTATGGTTTTTGGGCTGAAAACTTGGTTTTTCAGAGGTTCAGTACGCGATCTGTAGCGTTTGAATAAGACGTCGGAGAAATCTGGGAGTTGCGTAGAATTGTAGATAAGAGGTCTGGATATCGAATCCACTCGTTGGAATCAAAAATTCATCAAGCCTTCTACTTTTAGTAAGATAGTTTTCCAAAGATCTTCCTGCAGATCCCCTTAAGATCCGTTTGAAAAGTTTTGCTTTCACATATGGTTATGTCCCCTACTATTGACTACATGATAGCGAAAACCCGACCTCGATAGCTGTCTGGGTTCTCGAGTTATTCAGCTCGCAATCACTCCCCTTCTATTTTGAAATGGACAGTAGTGGTATTATTCCTCCTTTATCCGCTTGGCATAAACTGACTAATATTTCCTGGAATACTTTACTGCACAATATAAGAGCTCTTTTCTTTTCGACTGGAGTCTACCATTTAGGCTGTACGAGAAGAGAAAGAGAAGATGCAGTTACGAAATTAATGTGACAAAACATCTTATGAAAGTCTTATATAACTTTAATATAACTGAGTCTCCTTGCGCGATTATTTATATAGAGCTGTATGAATTATTTTGAATGGCGCTCGGTAAATGAAAGCAAATGAAAAATAGAAGTTTCTTTTCCGCTAATATTGTTGTATCTACTTCCCAAGGTGGATGAAGACGGTTTATGTAAGCAGATGCGTGACACCGCTAGCTTTGTTTTCATCCGTTCAAGGTGCCTGCCAGTTGAGCATAAAATTTGATATATATGAACTATTTTACAAAACAAAAAGAAACGTAAATGATGCGTCTCTGTATAAGTGCTATATATCATGTTGTGTTTTTGAGCACTTGTCGAAATATGTTGAGATTGCCAGTGGACACGAACCAGATCTTTTCGAATGCATGTCGAATTGGTCCGGTTGAACCCATGAGTGGATTATTGAGTACTTCATTGAATAATTGAGCAATCATCTCCTCGCTATTACCAAATGCACCTGTTCCAATTGGTCCCAACAACAGATATGTATCCTTGCCAGTGCCATCCGTATTTGCTACCGCAGAGGCAATAATAGCATGAAATTTTTGTAGTGTGCGAGCACGTATTTCATGCTTATTTGATGGTGGTTTATAGAGCCCTTCGCCTGTGCCGGACACATCGTAACCTTTTCAAAAAATAGACAAAAAACAACATAAAATCCATTGCTTGTCTACACTTGTGCCGTAACTAAAATGAGGGACCCATGTAAAACTCTTAGTTTACATCGAACATAAAATAACGCTTAAAATAACTGAAATAGCTCCACAAAATACGGATGGGCTAGAATAAGTGGCCGTCTTGGTATTTTGTTGATATCACGCTCAATTTTTATGGTCCAAGTTTCAGCTTGTTTTTAAAAAGATTTGCCATGCAATTCTCTAGATAACTATATTAAACATTTCATATCTGATTGCACTGTTTCCTGTTCCAGATCATGAAAAGTAAAAGATCTTCAGAAGTTTGTACTTTCCAAGTATGAAAATCGGGCTGCACCAAAAAAGTGTTCGTTGAAAAGTGTCTATGTTCTTTGATTTCAGACTTTGCTCTTTCTAACGGAAAAACAATTAAATCGCACAACAAACAATTAAAATTTTTCCATGAGTTTGTAGAGGACACTTTGAAGTATATATTTCAACACTTTTTTCGGGTACCGCACCTGTAGTAGTCAGCACACTTGATTACCTATTGTCCACTAGGTGTCGTGAAAAAGCGATCGGACAGTTCGAGTGGTTTCCTCGTAAGACATGATACGTTTTTCGTTGGTTGATCGAGGACAAACTCGTACTTACAACAAGCACAAATATAGAGTCAATAAAAGTTGTCCCTTTTACTCAAATACATATTCTTATTTTCCTTAATAATGTTTAGGAATTTGAAGACTGATAATTATTGAATTATTGAAAAAAAATATCATAAGCGACAGCAGGACATGTCTACCATATACGAGCATACTTACAAGCAGCCACAATTAGATCGGTGATACGCTCTTCTTTGCCATCGAGAAAGAAACGCACTCGTTTGACATAAGCGACACCGAATTCAGGTAACATAAATCCGCCATCCATCATTGTATATTTTAGATCGAGTAGTGCGCGATAGCCATCTGAATTGTAGAGGATAACCTGCATAAGAAAAAAAGAAAATGCAGATCTATACATCTAACTGATTCACACTGACTTCTTCTTGTGTCTGTGCACCGTCAATAAAATAACCGCCTGGCATGCGCTCATCGGCAAAATCTAGTACAATTATTTGTTTGCCTTTGGGAACTTGAAATACAACATTTTGAATGCCTGATTCGACAAAATGAAATGTGCCTGTATGTTTTCGTTGGTTGACAGGTACTTTGAGTAGAGCTTTTCTGGCATCGATATCGGTTACTGGATTGTATGAACTATCTTTGATTATATCTCGAATCTGTTTATAATTCCAATAGATTTTAAGCTCATCCGGTCGAAATCCGCTGTTACGATATCGAGCAATATATGGACGAGATTGACTAGCCACTATATTAGCTACATTTTTAATCTTCATCTCCCAATAGATACCCAAATTGTTGGCATTGTGTAATACTTGATACGGTTCGATTGTATTCTGCAATTGAATATAGTGTTTTTCAATGACATTCCAGTTTATTTGCGATGATGGTGCACATTCATCGATCCAATCGAGTAATTGACGATTATCACGTGACGAACGAATGGATAGAAGAAATTTGAGCATTGTACGACGACTCTGATGATAATCAACTCGTTTCGTCCAGAATTTGTCTGCTGGTGCTAGAGCAATGCTCATCACCGAACATATGTCAACCTTGTGTAATGAGTGACCAGGTACAAACATGTCCGTGAAAGGGGGCACAATGATGTATGTAAAATGGCTTCTTGTCGTTATCGTGATGAATGCACAGACGACAAGAAGAAGATTAACCTTGACAAGAGACAAAGGTACCATTGGCACAGATGGCAACTTCCCGAACACTAGAATAATGATCAAACATTCTAGCACCAACAATGAAGAGACACAGCAAGAAACGGTATGCCGACAGACAAAGTGAATGAAGGGTACCTAAATTGAGGCACTTTTTCATTGGATAAATTTCTACCAGAAATTCAAACCACTTCTTTTAGCCCAAAATCTCACTGGCTGTTTGGAGCCCAACCCATACATGGATCATACGATATACCACATAGATGACACTAGTTAAGCAAATATTTCGTGATCTAAGCCGTAATTCGAGACGAACGGAACGAAACCCGTTCGGAGAACCAACCTGAGGCTAGAGCCTCAAACGGCCAGCGAGATTTCTGGCTAAAACATTAGTTTGAATTTCTGATAGAGATTTATCCACTTAGCTGACATAGATGACCGTTTAAGGAGCTCTCGAGAGCTCCATCATCCGGCAATATTTCCAACAGATCTCCATTGTTTCATGGGCTATAAATTGAACTATCATTTGCCTTCATGGCACCATTTATATACAACTACGTTTATGTAATAATAATGCTCTATACAGAAACAAAACGTGGTGTAGAAATTCTTAGTTTTAACAATCATCGATAGGTTCGAAATGTACCGAAAGTTCAATTAATTGGTTTTGTGATGCAATTGGCTTAGCACTGATACCTTACATATTGTTTTTAGGAAGGAATTTGAAAAATAGTAGAAGGCTGATATGTCCCAAGTAACACTACAGTTAGCCGTAGGATTAGTTTCCTGTTAGTCAAAGTTTCGTAAAAATCGGCGGTGTCCTTTAGTCGGAATTCTAATTTTGCCAAGGCAAATTCGGAATTCGCCTGGATTTCAAGTTTGCCTACAACATACATTTATCTTCATCAAAGAAGAAAATCATTGATGAAGTAAAAGAAATAATCTTTGGCAAGAACAAACGAAATGTAGATCAATCATATTATTAGGTCGATAATTGTCTAAATCCTTGATTGGGTAATAATGTTACAAGATAAATATATTCCGACTTAAGTACTGGTTCATTCAATAAGTTCAAAAGCAAGAAGACACAATAAAAAAGAAACTATCAAGTAGATAACTTCAGCAATGAACTTATAACGGAAATCAGTTAGAAAACGTCTAAAGGCCGCTAGATAATTCATAAAACTTTTTCCAATCGGATATCTGTATCATATTTAATTTACGAAGTCAACGTAATTATTTACAAAGAGTATAGGCTTGACTTAAATGATCAATAATTTGAGTTAGCAGCTGAAAATGAATTGTTAATCCACACATATTTGGAAATAATAATAAAAGACAACGAGTAAGAGGATAATCATGCTCATAGTTTTGAATATTTAATATTCGAACACTGTTTAGCTTTAATGATTGATCATCTTTATTATTTAGAATATCTTGACCGATATGACATGATTCTCCAAGATTGATTTGTTGTAAATTAGGCATTAATCTTTTTATCAAATATAACCTTTTTAGGGTTAACGAATCTCTAGTTCCAATATTATGCGGTCTTCCAGAATGCTCTTAGACGATGCGGTATTCTGAAGTGTGTCCAAGAGCTGTGATATTCTAGAACGTTCCAGTATGTATACTATGGGTAGTATATAAAAGGTGTCCCACAAGTTCTGAAACGAAATTTACAGATCGTTCCAGAAAAAGAAATTCCTTACTATATCAAACGATAGACAATTTAATTCTCTACAAGATTGTATATTCATTTTTAAGATTCATCCTTGATGTTTGACACAGTCAGTCTAACAGGAAAAGCTCCAAATTTTTTAACTGCAAAGCGCAGTTTTAAAGTGCAAACTGGTCTCTTTTTTAAATTGCTTATAATGAGTACAAAAGGATTTGAAATAATTTTATTACAGTCAAATGGTGAAGAATGTCATGATTTACAAAACATTTACTTGAAGGAAATTTTAATTCCTAGTGGCTTTAATACATAAACCTCCAAGTCCACCGAAGTTTCTAGCACTTAAAAAAGGTTTTGACTAGTCCAGTATGAAATCCGAAGTTCAAATCATTAGTTTATAGACCAAAAAATGAAGAATTTTGTGCTCTATGAGACTGTAACTTACAAATAAATCTGCTAGTTTTTTCACCAGAAAAACTGGGAAATACCGGATGTCGTTAATTAAGATGGGTGAAAAATAGGAGAAAATGACCTTTTTTAAAGACTGTTTTTCGCTCTGATTTAATCTAAAAAATCATTGTTTATCATTAAAAAACATCATCTTGTAAAAAATTTCTTGCTCAATTTTTTGGTAGATCCTGTTTTATTGAATAAGTGATTTTTAGCGAGGTTTTGAGCAAAAAATCGGTTTTTTGAAGGTGCAGTTAAGGAGTTTGGAGCTTTTCCTGTTAGACTTACTGTGCCAAATATCAAAGATGAACCTCAAAAATGAATATATAACCTTGTAGAGAATTAAATTGTCTATTGTTTGATGTGGTAAGGAATTTCTTTTTCTGGAACGATTTGTAAATTCATCGTTCTGGAAATCGTTTCAGAACTTGTGGGACACCCTTTAAATGTGTGTGTGTTTGTCGAATTCCGACATGTTATATTAGGTTTTCTGGTATATTCGGTTCTTCTATGATAAGCAGTTAAAGAAGTATCTACAATCTGAACTCTGGTACAACATAGGGGATAAGAGGCAGTTTTTTGTTATATAAGTTTTATCTGTTGAGATATTTCTTTATAAGTAATGAGTATAATGGAAAGGCCTACCTAAAGAATTGGAAAAGAGCTTTATAATTAATTCAGTTCTCTCCTTTACAGCAATTGAACTCAGAAAGCTTAATGTCGATAAATGCTCTAAAGAAAATTCGATATGGACGAGGTTAGCTGAACAACTAAATGATAACAATCCACAAAAATTATATACACGATGGCGTGACAATTATAGAAATATAAAAGATTTGGTTAAAGAAAAATTAGAAGAATATGAGTAAGATAAAAATATGCATCTGTTCAAATTGTCATATATCCTTCTCTGACTATACTTTCGATCAAAACAAATATTAGATCATCCAATAAATATCAATAATAATAATGGAACAGATACCAACATTAATATGTGATATCAACTATGTGTACAACCGAGCCAGCTCCTCTAGTCATACGCAAAGAAAGTTCCATAAAAGAAACAGTTTGAGTAATTATCAATAAATTTATAATTTTTTGTAACAGCAATGTTGCTGTTATGATATTTTAGATTAGTTCAACGACTACCACCATTCTTGACAAATATAAGCTTAATAAACTTCAAACTTCAGTTTTCCTAATAGACTGCAAGTTTTCACAAAAAACAAAGTGGAGTGCAAAAATTGAGCACTCCCACAGCGCATATCACATTAGATGAATAACGTCTTCGAATAACGTACAGTAACACACCAGTTTAGTCTATCGTGACTACTTAAAAAAGTGTTAGTTTATATCTTTGTAGGCGTACAGTAACACAAGAATGTAGGCGTACAGTAACACATCAGTTTAGTCTATCGTGACTACTTAAAAAAGTGTTTCTAGCAACTCTTACTTTATCAATGTTGACAATGAGTGAAAATTCAATACTCACCCGATATTTACTAAGCACAATAAAAATGATTAGATGTATGTATTTCGGTATATATAAGAGGTGAAAAATACACGACTATTTCCAGACTAAAATGATGTATAGTATTTCTTACTGTATTTCTTCTTTTTTTATCAAATTGTCACAACAGACAGAGAAGCCGTCAAAAATAAATCTACGCGTAGATATAGATCAATATCATTCACTTTTCTTTGCCTTCCTCTGATTTTGCTGCGTGACAGAAATCGGATACTAGATCTGTGTACAAAACAGAGCAAATTTTCATTTTTTTATTATCGGTTACACACTCCAAAACAGAAAAAGAAAAAGTCTTCAGCATGCAGTAAAATTGATTATTTGATTTGAAAACGGATATATAAACACATATATATGTGTAACTGATATTTATAAACAGAAAAAATACAGTTCAGCTGTTTTGGAGTGTGTAACCGATAATAAAAAAATGAAAATTTGCTCTGTTTTGTACAC